ATTCTTGTATTATTGTTGTTTGGTTAACCTAACTTAGTTTTAAAAAATAATTCTATTTAACTTTCCTTAAAAGTTTTCTTTTTTTTAACCCCCCTAGTCTAAGTGAAAGCTTATTTTCAAGTGGAGGGCTTCACATAAAACTTTTATGTTGTATTATTAAAAAATTTTGGCTCAGTTTTGAAATTGTTATTTAGCCAGTAGAATTAAAAAAGAATTTTATTGTCATTGGTCAAACTAAAAAAAAAAAAAAAAATGTAGTGTGTCTGTTTTGGTAGCTGAGAACATTTATTGTTTGAATGCCTTAATTCTCCGTATTATGTTAAACTTTTAAATAAATGTGTATTTTTGAGCATGACAAACTTTGTTTCATCATAACTATCTTAATAAGTAATTAATTAAATCATAGTTAAAAATTATAAAGATTTTAGACGTGAAACTAAGGGAGTGAATCAGATGCATTCTCAAAATGTCTAAGTAACAAAATACCAAAATAATCCATAGTGTTGAAAATTTAGACTTCATGACTAAAAAAATGAAATAAGATCTTTGACAAATTTCACAATACATCATGTAGCTAGATAACAGTTTTAAGATAACAGCTAGATCCTAGTTTTTAGGATCAGATTGTTCTTTTCTGTTTTCTAAAACAAAACAAGGAAGCTAGTAAAATTATCAATTCTTTGATTTTTTCAGTGCTGGAACTTGCATAGCCTAGAGGTTATGGTGCTAAACTCACAATCTGTGGGTTGTAGGTTCAAATACCATCACTAAGTATGCTTGCCTTTTCAACAGTGGGGCTGTATAATGTTATGGTATAAGAGTATCCCACGAGTTAGCAATGGATAGTATTGACTTACTGCCTTCACTCTGATCTCATTAGGGACAGTTAGCATAGATAGCCCTTAAGTAGCTTTGCATGAAATTCAACAAACAAACTTTTCAATGCATTACTAATCTTGTCGTAAGTGATAATATACATTTGTTTTTAAAAACTTAAGTTGAATTTTTGAAGCAGTTACATTTTCCTTTCTAATTTATATCTATATTTAATGTAATTTTATCATTATTAAAATATCATTTACATTAATGATTTCTTGATCATCTGCATTAAAACTTTCCTTAAATTTCAGTTCGTAATTACAACTTTCAAAATTACAGAAGTAATTATTAAACTTTTCTCCCAGCTCATACCATTAGACTTTGTTTTAAATACTAGTCAATTTTATCTTCAAGATATCTTCTAATTATTATAAATATGTATTTATTTTTAACATATAATCTTGATTTCTTATTTGACATTCAGAATTAGCACATGTTTTAAGACTTATAACTCTCTAATTTATCATAATTTTTTACTAACACAACAAAACAAGTCTTCCATGAAAATATTATCATTTACAATAATATTTACTTTGAATTAATCTGATATGCCCGAACAACTATCCATAAAATGTATGAAAGTAGTTTTTAATATTTATCCTAATTTAAAGTTATAAACTCATTAAATACAAAATAATATTTTCAAATGTCCAACAACTCTTACATCCAACATGTTTATTTGCAATTTAAGAAAGATAGTAAGATGATCAGAATAAGAAAAATGTGTCATTAATTTTAATTGTTTTAAACAATCTGATATTAAAAAATAATAACAATAGTCTTGACAAGCTTGTTTTGTATTGTTTTCAAGTGTATTTTTTTAAAACAAGATGAAAAGAAAGCTCTTCATGTATTAATTAAAATCTACAGTAATGTTAGTAACTACTGCTTGATTTGTGGAAGTATTAATAGCAGCATAGCTATTATAGTCATAGATCTCGTAGTTGGTTTGTGGGATGTGAAATGTTTTAATTGGGTTACAATGGGCCAGAAGTTTTTATGTTTAATGTAACTCCCAGCTTCCTACTTGCAAGAATTTCATGGTACTTCCTCTAACTGTATCCTATTTTTTCAATTGATTTCTGTCAAATTTTTAACATCTATTTAGATTGTTCAACTTGTTTACAAGGTGATATTTTGTTCCATTTCAAGTTCTAGTTGTGGTTTGTATTTTCATCATGGCTTGGCTACATGACCCTTTTTTTTTCTCTTCACCCCCAAGTTATAGATTTGTAAGGGTCAGAATATCTGATATTTTAGTGTAGTTCTATTATTTTGTGGTACATTTGAATATTTTTTTTATATACGTATCTCTTTATGTTAATGTATTTATTACCCTGAGAATAATCAGCTTAGTCTTTTCTGTTTTTCTCCTCCTCGGCATTGAATTAGCTCTTGATTCCATTCTCGTATTTCTCCTTACATGGCTGGCTTTTCTCAAACATACAACATCAAAGGGTTAGTTTGGGTATGACTAATACCAATGAAATCTTATATTTGTGCCAGTTGTGAATAATGTCTTGAGTTCCAGTCTACATTGGGCTGCTATATTTTTTGTCTTCAATGTCTGCGAATCAGTCTAGGTTGTTCTAGAGCACCTTCCAAATTACAATGCTCTTTCTTTTATATCAACAGTACTTCTTCACCAACATTCAGCTTGCCAGGTTTTCAAGGTGGTGAATGAACTTGTTAAGGGGTGAAATGATTTACACTATTTTGTATGAACATACATGTATGCCAATGATTTTAAGATGGAGGTATGTGTTGAAATAATTCAATACTTTTTTTCCACCTGTTACATGTTATTAGGACAGCTGTGCTGTTAATTAACTTTTTCCATTTATCTTTGTCAGCAGTACAGAGTTTTTTTAATAAATAATGTTCAAGATAGACAGTTTGAAAACAATAATGCATCCTATATATACAGGAGTACATCTAAGTGACTGAAATTGGTTTTAGTTGTAAAATATTAATGTTTGCAGATCTGAAAGAACGTTTTTTTTTTGTCAATCTGCACACATACACTATAGTCAGTTAATCACAAATGTTTATGAAATGTACTTTTCATCTAAACTATTTTTGGTTGTTGTAAGTACAAGCTGAAATACCCGTCAACTGACGGGAATGTTTAAACTTAATTAAAACAATGCAAGTTTAACAGCAATCAAATATTTCAAAGAAATAACTTGAACATAAACTTTATTTTAAAATTTTAACAAAGCTTCTTCATAAACAACATATGCAGTTTGCTTTCCATCTACCAACAAATAAAGATTTTGAGGTGATCCCAACCTTGAACACCTTACATGATCTCATTGACCATGAGAAAATCATAGTTGTTTGAGAAACAATCCAGCAACTTTTATACTTTGAACTTGAGTCCATTTGGAATATTCAACATTGTCTAAAGCATCAACCTGCCAAGATTGTGATTGACTCAATAGACTGGTAGTAATTACCCAACAGGCTTTACAAAATAGAAATATGGTTAAGTTCAATTTTGATCCCCTTGTTTACATACAAATTTTGGTCGAGATTGGCCCAATAGGCTTGGAGGAGTTAAGATGCAAACAAAGACACATTTTGTCTTTATACATATGTATATAAATATATAGATAGATGATAAAGGTGACACCAAACAAATACTAATATATAATTATGGGCTTATTATTACAGGAGTACTTTATTTTCATTGGATATTTAATTGAGAAAAATCTGTTTACCTATATCTAATAATAACGGGATAATTTTTTGTGTTTGTTCTTCATTTAACATCTTAGTGTTTTCTGATGAGTTTTAACACTACTGATGGAGCCTAATTTTATTATTTTTGGCAAAATAGGCAAGTTAAGAAGTGCTTATTCTTAAATTTACATGTAAGTTGTCCATAGAAAGTGTCGACTATTTTATTTTTATAAAACATAGACTTCAATACATCCTTTTTATAACAATACATGTAGAAATTGTTAGACAAAATAACAGATATACAAGTGACACTGTACATACGTTTCGGTTTCTCTTTGTTATTTAGCTTGTTTGTGAAGAGAACATCTTCAAGCTCAGGGTTGCGACCAGATTGTAAGTAACTTATAACTTCTTTTTTTTCTTGTTTCCATAAATTCATAAAACATGTTATTTTAATAAAAAATGTTAATGTTTTTTATGTTAAATTTCACGGTTACGTGTGCATCAAAGATGCACTTGGAAATAATAAAATGACGAGCAGTTAAACTTTCTATTACTAAGTCATTAACAGTTGTTAAGTGGTTAGAATTTTTTGACAACAGTCTATAAGTTAGAGCTTTAAAAAAGCTTGTGTTTAATACGAATACTTTTAATGAGAACAGAAAAATTTCATTACAATGTAATTTGATTTGCATACATTATTTGACTCGTATTGTGTGAAGAAATTCACCCTTTCTTTGTTTGTAGTATTGTTTCAGTTAAACAATAAGAAAGACATCTTAGATTAGGGTTTCTTTGAAATCGGACAAAACTAATCTAAATAGCTAAAGGAAAAAAAATGAGAAAAACAAATTCACGATTTGATAAGGAGAGTATAAGCTGTTGGTTTCAGAGTAAGTTTGAACTGGTTGAAATTTAATGTATATTAATGACTATTGTAGGAATACAAGATTTCTTTTATTTTAAAGATGTCATATTTTAAAATAAAAAATATTGTTTATTTCATACACATTTGCATATACCATCTTGTGTCATGAAACGTGGGTTCTACCATTAGGTGCCTGTTTATTCATACAAAAAATATATTTTTGGGAAATCTAGAACTCGTGATTATTATGCACGACGTGTCTTAACATAAAATTCCTTTCACTAATGAAGCTTTATGATAGTCATCCAAGCTGAGAATGAAGAGAAATTAAGAATCTGACAGTGTGTGATAATTGCTGGTCTGATGCCTGTGTTAAACCAACAGAACTGTGACATCAGTTCTCATGTTATGAGCTTAAGTATAAATTTTATGTCATTGTGTCAAAATGTGACAAGGTCACTAATCCATGCTTGGTATTGAACTCTTCTACCAAGGATATATATCTTAATTCAGCTATGGTGTTAAAATTTGCTAATAAAGTTTTTTATTAGCATGAATTGTTCAAATATCATTAAAACTTGTGGGATGTATTTGAGAAACCTTGTAAGACTATTTGTTTCAAAAGCATACAAGTTCACACAAGGTTTTTTTTTACTAGTTTAATATCCATTTGAATTAATTGAAGAAAGTTTTTTCATTTTCTTTACCTTTTATTTCTACATACAGATGTAGGTTTTGAAATCCCAGATAGATTTATTGTTGGGTATGCCTTGGACTACAATGTTTAATATCCATGTGAATTAATTGAAGAAAGTTTTTCATTTTCTTTACCTTTTATTTCTACATACAGATGTAGGTTTTGAAATCCCAGATAGATTTATTGTTGGGTATGCCTTGGACTACAATGAGTATTTTCCATGTGAATTAATTGAAGAAAGTTTTTTTTCTTTTTTTTTACCTTTTATTTCTACATACAGATGTAGGTTTTGAAATCACAGATAGATTTATTGTTGGGTATGCCTTGGACTACAATGTTTAATATCCATGTGAATTAATTGAAGAAAGTTTTTCATTTTCTTT